AATGCGACTGTTGCGGCACTGTACAACATTGGCTGTGTCGTCGATCGCAGCCTCGAACTGGTGAGCGCCCCTAACCCTCATGTTCATGAGAACACACTGACACTGCCCGTAGTACAACATCCTACCTGTTGATATCCACCAACGACTCATATTCGCCATCTCCGCAATGCACGCGTACGGCCATCAATGGGCCTGTCAGATCGTCTACAACCCCCGTTTACGCGAAGGCCTCGGGCTCACCGATGGTGAGGGCGTCGAGAGGCTCTGGTCGAGGCTCCGTAAGCTCATTCCCATCACACGCTCGTCTGCGGTAAGCACATGTATGTTTCCGCCGCATCATGCCTCTCATGACCGCTCGCAGCGATCACGGCGTATCTGGCTGATCGACCGTCAGGCCAAGGTTATCAGCCTTGATCTGCGTGACGATCTGGGCCACTGGATTGCCCAACGCCTACGCCATGGAGTGGAATCAAGGGAGGCGTTGTCTCTTGAAGAGCTGGCGCGAGTAGGTATTCCCAAGGAGGAGCTACGAGACGAATGGAAGCAGCAATGCGTAGCGCAGACATCTATCAGAGCGCGTAAGGCATCTGCTATGATCATGATACCAATGCTGACCCTCCCACAGATGCTCCATGTCACGAGTTGGTACGGCGCCTAGCCGTTTTTTTAATTTTTTCCTTTTCGCGGGCTCGAACCCGCAACCTCTGTACTACCTGCCTGATATGGGCGCGTCACTATCTACTGTACGATTAGATTAGATGGGGCGGCAGCGCACGGCACAGCTCGGGCCCCGCTGACACAGCTGCTCTGACTCACCGGCCCCCGGGGCCGCGTCGGCATGCTGTGCACGGACCAACTGCGCACGGACCAATGCGCACAGCCTCCCCTAAACATCCCCTGTATATAAGCCGGCCTCTGCTGCCCTAGGGACCTCAGTTTCGACCTCTTGTCCCTAGGTCAGTAAGCCTTCATTTGTATTCTTTCTTACTTACTAACTAATACATTTCCTTGTCCCTAGCCTTAGGTTTGAGCCTGGCTCACCATCGCTTTGGTAAGAACTAAGTCGAACGCCCCCAGCGCCTCGTTTGGTTTTCCTCTGTCGCTTGACCCTAAGTCGCGACATTAGGTCGAAACTCCTCACCGCTGCCGGCGTTCACCGGAACACACTCACTTTATCCTTTCCTATAGGTCGGGTGGTGCGCACCCTTACTATACTTTACTATACTTAGATAGCCTACGATACATCGCCACCACTTAAGGGACGAACTCTTCAGTATCTGCACTTCAGTGGGCGATACTTGTCCTCACGGACGCGTGGCTTAGGTTCCTGCTGCATACTAGCCAAAAGCAGTACTGGGCCCCACGTGAACTGCGAACCTTAGTGTCTTCTCGGGCGCCGTAGGTGTAAGCTAGTATAGCACGGCCTTTCGTAGTACGCGCACCTCCCCTTCCTCCCCCCATCCATCGTGGCTGCCTGCCAAGGCCAAATCCACGCATTCGACTCCCAGGACCTCATCGACGTCTACATCCCAGACGGCCCTGAGACTATCCTCTATCGTTGCGAGCAGCAGCCGTGCCCCAACCGGACACCCCGATCGATCGAGGAGGATTACCCTCGCTACAAAGCGATCCGACGAGCGCAACACCCGCTCGGACCCCGAAGCACCCTCGCATCCCGATCTGCCTCGCGGCACTCTCGCCCTGTCTCCCCTACCTCCCGCCTTCCCCAAACTGTCGCCGAGTCCAGTCAAACGCGAGGAGATCTCCCTCCAGACCCTGCACCAGAGCCTGAGCCTGAGGAGGGTGCAGGTGAAGAAGGAATCTCGGAGTCCGAGTCCGAGGCTTCTACTGGGTCCACCTCGCCGCCAGCGCTCGCCCCCGCGTCAGCAGTCCCTGACGTACGTGACCCCCCCGCCGAACTTCCTTCGGCGCCTTCACCGCCGACTCCGCCGAGAGGCCGCTCGAGCACTCGCTCCTCTCGAAGTTCGACCAGCGGAGGGCCACCACAGCCGCCTCTGCCCCCGCAGCGTCCTCCGTCCCCCCCGACGCCGATAATGTCCTCTCCTGCAGCCGCCCCCGATAAGGAGACTTTGAAACTCCTCCTCCCGCTCCGCTACGATGGCAAGACCGTCATCGAATGCAACCGGTTCTTGTCGCAGCTGCGCATCTACTGGCTGGTCAACACGTCGTTGACCACCATCGAACTCAAGGTGCAGGTCGCCCTTAGCCTGCTCGATGGAGATGCCCGCGCCTGGGCCACTCCCTACTTTGCCCAGCTCGCATCGGTGCAGGTGGGTGTGCAAGGGGCCACGACCCCGTTCGCAAACGAAGCGGCCTTTGCCACCGCCTTCAGGGCCCGCTTCGGAAATCTCGACGATGAGGCGGCAGCACAAGTAGAGCTGGCAAAGCTCTGCGCGGACAAGTCGGTCCGTGAAAACGCACCGCCGCGGAGTTCTCCGCGCTGTTCAAGGGTCCGGCGGACCGCTCTGGGTATGGGGACCTGGAGCTACGCGACAAGTACCTGAGCGGCATCCCCTCCCGCGTCTACCGCAAGATCGAGCTCGAGACCTTCGCCACGTGGCAAGCAGCTGAGAAGCGCGCCACCGAGGTCGAGCAGATCCTCGATATCAGCCGGGCCCGTAGGCCCGAGCTAAACAACTTCTTCTCGGCCCGAGGTCGAGGACGCGGTGGGGCACGTGGTGGTGCACCCTCGACGCATACAGCTTCGGCCAGCATCAATGCGGCCGTCGGAAAAGGAAACTTCCCCGGCACATGCTTCGGCTGTGGGAAGCAAGGGTACCGACGTTTCGAGTGCCCCAATTGTAAGGACAAGCCTTACACAAAACGCGCCGATGCGCGGGCTACGGTTGCCTCGGGCTCCACCCAGGCTGCGACAAGTGCCCCCATCACGACGACACCCTCGGCAAGTATAAGTGCCGCTTCAGCGAAATCCGAGCAATCGGAGCTGGCGGACTTAATGGCACAGGTGAAGTCGATGCGCGAGGAGCTCGAACACTATCGGGCGATGAAGGAGGAGGGTTTTTGATCCGGTCCGCGCTTCGTGCCGCACGTGTCGGGCCGGGTATATCATGTAATCGTTATAATATATTGTCGACTGCAATGGTGTATGAGTTGGACCCGGGGTCCCAGCACTTTCACATTCCAGTCCGACTTCAAGGAAAAAGACGGCACAAGGACGTAATCGCAATGGTGGACAGCGGGGCCACCACGAAATTCATCAACAAGCGATTCATTATCGAGAATAAGGTGCAAACGCGGAAGTTGAAGGAACCAATTCCGCTATACAATATTGATGGCACCCTGAATAAAGACGGAAGCATCTCGGAGGTAGCAGTGCTACAGATGCATATAGGAGAGCATGTCGAGAAAACGGTGTTCACGGTCACGGACATCGGTCCAGAAGATGTGATCGTTGGGTTAGATTGGCTGCATGAGCACAACCCTGAGATCGATTGGGAGAAGGGCTCCCTCAAATTGTCGCGATGCCCTGAAACGTGTAGCGCCAGGAGGACTGGCCGAATGGAGCAAGCAACGACTGCGCGTGATACGGGGGTCAGGCCCACGGCGCGCAGGCGTTCGCCGAAGTCCAGACGGTCGATCATAGGTGCCTGCCGGAGCAAGGTGCTCCCGGACTTCGAGCCCGAAGAAGATTCGGCGGAAGTGGAATGGAA